AGCTGTATTTTCAGCATCATTACTCCAGTCTTCAGTGTCACATGATCCTTCAGAAATCATTCTAATATGCTGATTTGCTGCTCACGAAACATTTATTATTATTATTCATAGTAGTATTATTATCACTATTTAAAACAGTTGAGTACATGATTCTTTGATGAATAGATAGATCCAAAGATCAGCATTTATCTGAAATAAAAAGCTTTTGTAACATTATACACTATTCCATTCAAAAGCTTTGAGTCAGTGATTTCTTTCTTTCTTTTTTTTGGAAAGACAATATAGAAATTAATACTTTTATTTAGCAAGGATGCTTTAAATTGATCAAAAGTGATGATAAAGACATTTATAATGTTACAAAAGATCTCTATTTCAGATAAATGCTGTTCTTCTGAACTTTCTATTCATCAACGAAACCTGAAAAAAATAATACTAAGCTGTTTTCAACAAAATAATAATAATAATAATAAATGTTTCTTGAGCAGCAAATTAGAATATTGGAATGATTTCTGACACTGAAGACTTGAGTAATGATGCTGGAAATTCAGCTTTGATCACAAAAATAAATTACAGTTTAACAGATATTCACAAAGAAAACAGTTATTTTAAATAGTAAAAATATTTAAAATTTTTACTGTTTTTACTGTACTTTGGATCAAATAAATGCAGGCTTGGTGAGCAGAAGAGACTTCTTTAAAAACATTAAAAATCTTACTGTTCAAAAACCTTTGACTGGTGGTGTACAAAGAACTTCAGACACGTTTGTCTGGAGAGGCCTACATTTTGGGGAGTATTTTTAAATGTTTTAATGTCTACAAATTATTATTGAATTATTTCTTATTCTTTGTTTTAGATTCCTTCTTTTTGACAACTTTTAGGGCCGGCTGTTTTTGAAGCCCAGCGTTATGTTTCTGTCAGCAGAGCATCTGATATTTGGGCTTCCGATCGATGCACATTTTGTCCTGTTTTTATTTAATTCAAATTGATTTCTTTTATTTTTTAAATCCTGAACACTTTCTTGAGGACTCATTACTTTGATAGAACTGATCAGGACGTAATCTTCAGTTTCGGCTGCAAAGAGGCAATCTGGTGTACAGTGAACCGTTTTCTTTTATTTCATTATTGGTCCTGTCGCTTGTCATTGTTTTATTTAATTTCCTATTTACATAAAATCTAATTTATGTTTTAAATTATGAGACAATGTTGTGTTTCACTGGTTTTGCTGAATGGAGGTAGACCATGAAGCGAGTCATTTATGAATAAATTAAGTCTTCTCATTCATGTGATGGTTTTATTTATTTTTTATTTGGATGGATCGATTTAAAGTTCTTTCGACTCTGAATATTATAAGCAGATTTTTAAAACAGAATTTAAATTTTAAGAAAGACATTATGTATGCAATATCAATTTTTGAAGTAAAATCCTAAATAATTGTGGAAATAAGATCAGTGGGCAGATTTCTATGAACTGATTACCGTAAAAGTCAAACTTAAAGCATATACAGTAATTTAGTTAAGCATTGAAACCACCATATGTGGCTGTGCAAAGCAATAGAGTTTTACATTTTTTATGTTTATTTGTTTCACAAAAATTAATTTGTTTCCTATTTCACCCTAAAATCAAAAGAAAAAATTATATTACGCTTATTATTAAATTAGCTTAATTCTCTGTATAAAAATAAATAGTTTTGTGTTTCTTGTCATTTTGGGTTGAAATGACCTGCAGATGTTTTCATGAGATTCCTTCACATTTATTCATGATGCATCTGTTTCCAATATATTAAAAAACATATCTGCAACCATCTAAACGACCAAAAACCTGCATGCTGCGGATACAGAAAATACTGAAATAGTCACGGTTTGTGTAAAAAACAATAATAATTGTAAGAAAACATCTTAGCAGCTTATTGAATCCAGAGACGCTGCATGTGGGATGTCATAAATCAAATGTATGATGCTCAGAATAAGTTGACCACAAAGTGTGAGTAAAACCCTTTTTCTCCAAAAATGAAGTTTCATTGCTTTGAATGTTTGGCCTGTGAGTAATGGTTCATGAAGGGAAAGAATGTAAAGCCAGATAAGTTTTCCTCATGCCATCAAGCTCCCATATATTCCTCATGAGCTTCTTTGCTCTTTGCTCTGTCATTCGTTCTGTCTTACGGCTCAACAAATGCTTTAATTAGTTTTTGCAGCACAAACAAAGCAGAGCTCTCAGTCACACAAAGAGTCCCTCAGAACGCCACTCGAGGAAATTAAACCTCCCCTGCTGTCTGTGAGGGTCAATTACCCCCCACCGGCCCCACAATTACCCCGCATAACGCTGCAGGACGGTCAGCACGGGGCAGGAGACGACTGACCACTAAAGAGAGGAAATGATCAAGTCCTTATACAGTGAGGGTTTTCACATTTTATTTAGTTATTTATTATTTTATTTTATTTTATTTTTTTATTGCATTGCATTGCATTGCAGTGCTTGTGAGGAAGCATTTTATACTTTTTTTTAAAAATATTTAAACAATTTTTTTTTTTTCCTAAACCTTATATTTTTATGAAATTTAGTTTTATGAAGTTTTAAAAATTTCCCATTTACAGTGTGAGAATGTTCCACATTCGGAATCTTAAGTGACAAGAAGGTGTCAACATGTTTGAATATGGAATTTACATTGAAATTTAATTTTTTTTACATTTTATTTTATGTTTTTTATTTTATGAGAGAACAGACTCCTTACTCCTACAGTGAGGGTTTTTTTATTCATTTATTTTTCATTTATTTTATTTTATTACAGTACTTGTGAGAAAGCACTTGAAATTTCTCTTTTTATTCTTTATGCTTCTTTTGCAATTAATTCAGCTTATGTGTGCATTATGTTTTTTATATTTTTGGTTTTTATAAACCTTATTTTTTTATGAAATTTAACTTTAAAGTTTTAAAATTTACCACTTATATTGTGACTATGTTACACTTCTTTTTTTCTTCTTTTTTTTTTTTTTTTACTGTGTTTATGCTATTTTATGAAAAATGAGACTCCTTATACAGTGAGAGTTTTTTGAGGGTAGTATTTATTTATTTATTTTTCATTTATTTTAT